GGGCTTTATGGAGGCTCGCGTCAACAAGGGTCCGCGGCCAGCGTCGCGGTGTGCACATGCGAGGGTGCACGTGCGCTGGCGCAGGTGCGGCACGGTTCTGGTCGCTCATGGTATTGGAGGTCGTGTGCGACAACGACACATGGAGGTTCACGGCGGGCGGCGCGGGTCTACAGCTGCGAGACATTGAGGTCCATGTCGATGTGGGGCGCGTGAATGCGACGCCAACTCATGGAGGTCCTGGGCGGCAAGAGGTAGTGTGGTGCTGGCTCTGGCCAATGCAAGAGATCGCGCATGTGCACATGTACACGATGGCACAGATGTGGGTGGCTCTGCTCGAGGCTTGCTCAGGGGATTTCGAGGGAAGTCGAAGCAACGACTTCGGTCTATGGATCTGATGTTGGTGCTCCTCATCGGCGTGACAAGGAGAGCGTGGGGTGTGTCCACATGACTGTCTCGATTTGTTTGTTGCTGTGAAGTTGATGATGCGGAGGTGGGGTCCCGCTGGCGACAATGACAAGCAACAGGTGGCGTGTTCATTGACCTTCTGTGACGCTAGCCTTTCATAGTTCTTCTTCGTAGCTCTTTGTTAGAGTTGGAGCTGTGATGTCCTCATAGTGGGTGGCTGAGTTTTGGCATGGATCTTTATGTGACTCCGCAATGTCTCTATTGTGTGGATTGGGTCGACGATCATCCATGGCAACGTTGGAGACGCTTGCTTGAGCATTAGGGATGACAATGGTACCTACTTGGGAGAAGTGACGATGGTGACACATGTGTGGTATCTCGGCAAGGCTCTCTTTAAAGAGGTGTGTATGGGTATCTAACGTGTGCCGCTTAGCTAGTGGATTGTTTTCGTTCGAATTTTCATTCATTAACTAGACCGTTTTATTTTCATGAGTTGTGGGATATCTTGTGTGCGAGGCTCCCTTCCACGTAGTTTTCATACAAACATTTTGCATCCATTTCCAAAAAAAAGTATATGCCATACTTTTTATGAGTTGATAATTAATTTCCAACAGGAAATTTGACCACTTCCCTCCATATTTGCACCTCAGTCTAGTCACTCCACCAGCGTGTTTGCGTTGCACCTAAAAACGCAAGGCCGACGATGCGCACGGTATGTCTGCATAAACGTCCATATATGCATCTGACCATGCACATCTAACCTTGCACAAACAAATTAATGGTCAGACCGGCCGGCAGGCCAGACGATCCCACCTCGAAAGATCGACCGGCCGGTGACACAGCGCTGCCGTGTGCTCCCTAGTGCCAACATTAATTATGACCGGCATGCACTCGAGACCGTATGATCGTGTCGTGTCGCCGCTGCGTGTATGGCTGCGACCGGTCCCGGCCTCACCAGCCACACTATCGACCGCGGCTGCTGCCCGGGCCTCACGGTGTCCACACCCAAAAGCCGCACGGCTCAACGAACTCGACGTTCACCAACCGCGCGCGCTGGCGTGACAAAACCCCGCCTATAAACCTACCGGGCCGCCGAGCCTTGCCGGAATCAGCACCCAACCGAGCTCCCTTGCACACCTCCTCACACAAGGTCTGGGCACCTACACTGGTACAGCCATAGCTAGCTAGCGCATACTACTACACCGGAGGGAGCGAGCGAGCGGCCATGACGAGCGAGGTGCAGTCGGCGCCGCCGACGCCGCGGCCGGTGTCCGCCCCGCCGTCGCAGATGCACTCTCCGGCGCCCAGCCGGTCGCCGCTGCGCGCGATGGCGTCGCCGCTCGCCAGCCCCGTGAAGAAGGCGGTGGCGAGCGTGAGGGGGTACCTGGAGGAGGTCGGGCACATCACCAAGCTCGCCGACCCGCGCGACGCCTGGCTGCCCATCACCGCGTCCAGGAGCGGCAACGCCTACTACGCCGCCTTCCACAACCTCAGCTCCGGCGTCGGCTTCCAGGCGCTCGTGCTCCCCGCCGCCTTCGCCTCCCTCGGATGGTACCTTCTAAGCTACTCCACTTATATTCAAATCGAGAGATGAACATAAAGTACACGACTACACGTTACTTAATCTGTCCGGCCCGTGGGTTGGGTTCTTGCAGGACGTGGGCGATCGTGTGCCTGACCGTGGCATTCGCGTGGCAGCTCTACACGCTGCGGCTGCTGGTGAACCTCCACGAGCCCGTCGCCGGCGGCACACGCTACAGCCGGTACATGCACCTCGCCACCACCGTCTTCGGTACGTCCCCGATTCCCGCGCGCGCTTATTATCTCAGACTAGTTAATTACCACGGCAACGTCGTGCGGCAAACGACGTCGTCACTTTCAATCGCTGTCTTCCACGCTCACCATGCATGGCCTGCCTCGGCCTTCCTTCAACAGGCGAGAGATGGGGCAAGATCCTGGCCCTGCTCCCGACGATGTACCTGTCGGCGGGGACCTGCACGGCGCTCATCATCGTGGGCGGCGGCAGCATGAAGATCCTCTTCAGCATCGCGTGCGGGCCGGCGTGCCTGGCGCGGCCGCCGACCATGGTGGAGTGGTACGTCGTCTTCGTCTGCGTGGCCGTGGTGCTGTCCCAGCTCCCCAACCTCAACTCCATCGCCGGCGTCTCCCTGGTCGGGGCGACGGCGGCCGTCGGGTACTGCACCATGATCTGGGTCATTTCCGTTGCCAAGGGCAGGGTGGCCGGCGTGTCCTACGACCCGGTCAAGGCCAGCAGCGACGTCGACAGGACGATCGCCGTCCTCAATGGCCTCGGCATCATCGCGTTCGCTTTCAGGGGGCACAATCTTGTGCTCGAGATTCAGGTAAATGTCAGTCCTGGAAAAGAGATTCTCCTCCCATTCCCAAGTAGTGCATGTTAGCCTCGTTATCCTTTGCTCATGTCGTCCTTGTGCCGCTTTGAGGATGAATGGCGATGAGGAAAAGTCGCTGAGAGTGAAGCATCCTTCTCTTTGCAGGGCACAATGCCGTCGACGCTGAAGCACCCTTCTCACGTGCCCATGTGGAAGGGCGTCAAGTTCGCCTACCTCGTCGTGGCGCTCTGCCTCTACCCCGTCGCCATCGGCGGCTTCTGGGCCTACGGCAACCAGATACCTCCCAACGGAATCCTGAGCGCGCTCTACAAGTTCCACAGCCGCGACGTGTCCCGGCTGGTTATCGGTCTCGCCACCCTGCTGGTGATCGTGAACTGCCTGACCACGTTCCAGATCTACGCGATGCCGGTGTTCGACAACATGGAGGCCGGGTACGTGCACAAGAAGAACCGGCCGTGCCCGTGGTGGCTGCGCGCGGGCTTCCGCGCCTTGTTCGGCGCCATCAACCTGCTCATCGCCGTCGCGCTGCCCTTCCTGTCGGAGCTGGCCGGCCTCCTCGGCGGGATCTCGCTGCCGGTCACCCTGGCCTACCCGTGCTTCATGTGGCTGGCGATCATGAAGCCCGGGAGGGGCACGGCGATGTGGTGCGTCAACTGGGCGCTGGGGTGCCTCGGCATGGGGCTCAGCTTCGTCCTCATAGTCGGGAACCTCTGGGGGCTCGTCGCCACTGGCCTGCACGTGCAGTTCTTCAAGCCCGCCGAGTTCCAGTGAAACTAAAGATGGAAGCAAGTTTTTTTTTTCGAGTGAAGATGGAAGCAAGTTTGCTGTCTAATCCACCAACGGAAGACATATTTATGTGATGTAATGCTGGCTTGTTTTTCATTTTGTTTCTGATGAGAAATATACTATGTCTTGTACTGAAACCTGAAATGTTGATTCTTTTAGAAGCAAAGCTGAATCTACGTTTCAACATACTACAGATCAGCTGTTCTATATGCTTTTTTTCATGGTAATACGTGTCTCATTTATAACATAAGGTTCATAGTACAAGCCACGTACATACCGATCTGGCAAAACTGAACAAATAACAGAACGCTAGCCTTTATACAAAGGAACAACAACCAAGAAGTAAAATTACATACTACAGATCAGCTGTTCTATTGTTTTCAGTGTCTAAAAACCTTAAGATCAGCTGATATGTGGTAATGACTACAAGAAATAAAGCATGACAACCGAGGACGAAATATATATATATATAAGAACAAAAGGAACAAACAATCATCAGATACAGAACGAGCGAGTTTTCAGTTGTGCATTTAACATATAAGAGCTGCATCGCCCAGACACAGCGTTCTACAGCGAATGTGCGACTAAGTTCAAACTATTTTCTTATGAAGCTACAACCCTACAAGGAATAAACTGAAAAATCTACATGCATACTCAGATCAATCTAATGGCATCGTTTGATCCAGATGCATTCTATAGGAGACAAAAGGGTGCCTATATATATGCTGTACAACATCAATGAGCCACACGTATCTCTATCATGTTATTATATGCATCAAACTAAACTAATGTATTTTCACATATAGCGCGTACTAGCAGCACCTGCAGCAGATTACATCCCGGCAGGTGTAGGGTCTAGCCCGGGCTTCTAGTTCGTCCAGTGGGGGTACTGCTTCCAGAACATATCCCTTCTGTCTAGAGAGGCAGAGGTCATAGAGGTTCCTACAGATACCTTTGCTGAAAGGATGTACCTTTCTAGGAACTCCCCTGTAAGTGTCATTTGATCGATTCATTATGTACTAGAGACAAGCAAATATAACGAGAAAAATGCTAGTCTTCAGCCATTTCATACCTTAGGTAAGATATTCGCTTCCGTCTGGCAATTTCATATGTCGTTTGGTTCGTAAGAGCAAGGTAACTACAGATATACACAAGCTCGTGAATATAATAATCATCAGTGAAGAGGTCACTGTTAATTTGCGACTTCACAACATGTAACATATTCCTGATGTCAACAGCTATTGTTATAGTTTTTCTTTGTATTCTGCATAGCAGATTGCGAATTCTGAAAGAACAGACTACTGTGAATATATAAGCATAAAAACTTACGTATGCAACATGAGTAAGATCAGCAAAACTATGAGGATTACTATCAACGGCAGCAACAGTGTTAAGCCAGTCAAACCCTTCAACCTGTCGATTAAGAAACAAATAAAATGTTTGCCGGACAAACCTGAAATCCAAAGTACATGCCATGAGTAGTGAAACTAGATAAAAAAAGGTAGAGGTACATACCAGGACCCGTTCATATCCACATGTAAGAACTGGATGTAGAGAGCAACAGTCCAAACAACTAAACTTGCTTGTCCAAATATGTACCACCTAGAAAATATCACTTATGCAATGACATAAGCTGGATATAGTTTTGATGAGTCATAAAATAGAACATAACATCACATATGTATATTCCAATATATCATCAGAAGCATTTAAGAGCAATATTTTTAAATGCATATTAAGAGGACACAGCAGAAGGGGAGCCTTGGCGCAGTGGTAAAGCTGCTGCCTTGTGACCATGAGGTCACGGGTTCAAGTCCTGGAAACAGCCTCTTGCAGAAATGTAGGGAAAGGCTGCGTACAATAGACCCAAAGTGGTCGGACCCTTCCCCAGACCCTGCGCAAGCGGGAGCTACATGCACTGGGGCTGCCCTTTTTTATTAAGAGGACATAGCTGTTAACAGAAATAAAGGAATGGAGGAGAGCTGCAATTTCTACTTACATCCGGGAGACTTTGTGAGTCCAATAATACTAGTTTTTTTTTCTGTGAGAGCTGCAATTCTACTTATATCGGCGAGACCTTGTAAGTCCAATAATCATTAGTTCTCCTTCTCATTATTTTTCCTTTGATATTAAAAGTACAGGAGCCACAGAAGCACTACAATGCCAACAGGGCACTCTGTAAACCTACCCGGTGTGCTTTCAGTTAGGAGTTAAGAATTAGCATGCCCCAGATATGTCCAAAGCACATTCACAAGATACATGACATCATGTTAAACACTGGTAACTTGATTTTGGTAGATATGACTATCTGAGTAAAGCTTGAAGGAAGTAAAAGCCTGCCAATTCCACTTGATCAATATTAAGGGAAAGGGTGGGAATGGTCATCAGTACACAGTTCCAATTGAAATCAAGCAATTCCTTGTTAACAGTTGATATAAAGAAAGTAGAGACTTGAGAAAGTATAAGGGCATGGCCTCATTATTAAGAGGACATAGCTGTTAACAGAAATAAAGGAATGGAGCGCAAGCGGGAGCTACATGCACTGGGGCTGCCCTTTTTCATTAAGAGGACATAGCTGTTAACAGAAATAAAGGAATGGAGGAGAGCTGCAATTTCTACTTACATCCGGGAGACTTTGTGAGTCCAATAATACTAGTTTTTTTTTCTGTGAGAGCTGCAATTCTACTTATATCGGCGAGACCTTGTAAGTCCAATAATCATTAGTTCTCCTTCTCATTATTTTTCCTTTGATATTAAAAGTACAGGAGCCACAGAAGCACTACAATGCCAACAGGGCACTCTGTAAACCTACCCGGTGTGCTTTCAGTTAGGAGTTAAGAATTAGCATGCCCCAGATATGTCCAAAGCACATTCACAAGATACATGACATCATGTTAAACACTGGTAACTTGATTTTGGTAGATATGACTATCTGAGTAAAGCTTGAAGGAAGTAAAAGCCTGCCAATTCCACTTGATCAATATTAAGGGAAAGGGTGGGAATGGTCATCAGTACACAGTTCCAATTGAAATCAAGCAATTCCTTGTTAACAGTTGATATAAAGAAAGTAGAGACTTGAGAAAGTATAAGGGCATGGCCTCATTATTAAGAGGACATAGCTGTTAACAGAAATAAAGGAATGGAGGAGAGCTGCAATTTCTACTTACATCCGGGAGACTTTGTGAGTCCAATAATACTAGTTTTTTTTTTCTGTGAGAGCTGCAATTCTACTTATATCGGCGAGACCTTGTAAGTCCAATAATCATTAGTTCTCCTTCTCATTATTTTTCCTTTGATATTAAAAGTACAGGAGCCACAGAAGCACTACAATGCCAACAGGGCACTCTGTAAACCTACCCGGTGTGCTTTCAGTTAGGAGTTAAGAATTAGCATGCCCCAGATATGTCCAAAGCACATTCACAAGATACATGGCATCATGTTAAACACTGGTAACTTGATTTTGGTAGATATGACTATCTGAGTAAAGCTTGAAGGAAGTAAAAGCCTGCCAATTCCACTTGATCAATATTAAGGGAAAGGGTGGGAATGGTCATCAGTACACAGTTCCAATTGAAATCAAGCAATTCCTTGTTAACAGCTGATATAAAGAAAGTAGAGACTTGAGAAAGTATAAGGGCATGGCCTCATTATTTGGTAAAAGAGCAGTCCTCCATTCCTACATAACTTCTGCACAGGGGGCTTCTGGATTTATTGTTAAACGATAGGGACCGCGGAGTACAGAAACTGGAGAAGGTAAGGATGTTGTGGCTTTTGCACATAATAGCATACACTAAACTATAAAACGTAATATATATCATAAATTCGATATTTTAATGTGTTCAAAAGATAAGCTGCAAAATGTGTAAATAAAAATCTCACCAAAAACGGCAATGATTCCTTACGCCAATGCATGTTCCAAGCCATGTACAGTGATGATCAAATTGGAGAACACACTTATCACAATCATGACAATGCTTGGTTCGTGGTGGCTGTGAAAGGTAGTCAACACCAAAAGATGAGCTTTGGCGACGAGCATAACAGAAACGTGTGCTAGTTAAAGATATTTCATGGACATTGCAAGTTAATGTGACATAGATATTTGAGAATAACAAACTCACATATCACAATCTCAATATTATGCTGAGCAGAGTCAATAAGCCTGCACTAGTTCTTTATGCAATATAAAAACAATCTACTATCTTGCCAAATAGATTGTCAGATTGGTAAATCGTAATGAAGCATAAAGTGATAGAAAGTCTTCTTGTGGTTTATATATGTGACTCACGGGGTACAATGAGAAAGGAGAGTAACATAATTGACACATTACTGCCCTCTAGGCCATAACTGGTGCTGTCATACATTAAGGTTGTGTTTGGTGTGAACCAAGCTCGCCCTACCAAAAAATTGGCAAGCAATGTTTTTAGTAATGACCACTGTTGGCACGAAAAGTGAACTAGAATGCGGCAACCATCCAAACAATGACCAATTTTTCTGTCATACTTGGTCACGAACAACATACCCTAACACCTCTAGGGTACAGCTTCATAGGTATGCAAACAAGAGCAGTAAGCACATGTCATAATAATCTAGTAATCAAACATATTGGACATGACACAAGACCTGCTTAATTGCTTTCTACTGATCTTTAAATCAAGTTTACATAAGACAAACTACATGGTCCATGCTTGAAATGATACATATACCAATGATAATAAGTCAAATGATCTTTCATTTCTATATATTTTCCAGAGAATTTTATTTATTCTGCCATAAGCACTAACATCAATATTCCAAGACGGATATATTGCTGGCTGGTTACCACCAGTTATTTTATCGTTGCCTTGACTATAGAGAAGATTACAATAGGATGCAACTTTAGAATAATAAAGATTACCTGAACGAGATGGCAGTAAGAGCAGGTCAAATCCCTAAACAAAATGGAAATATACAACCATATCACATAAACGAAAATAGATGGCAATACATACTGAAAACTACATTTCGGAAGAGGGAAAAAACTTAATTCGAAATCCAGACAAGTGCACCTGCTGGATGATCCAGGAGGATACAGATCCATCATTTGCAAAAGCGACGAAGGTGTAGCAGATTGTGGGTTGTGTTGCTCTATTTTGCTGCGACTCATGAAATAATTTAAGCTCCCGTTTTTGGAACAGACCTGTCTTTTCTTAATCATAAAAAAACATTTTTAATTTAGCATAAAGTAAGTCTGCGCAACTGGCAGGCTCCAGCCCTTCAAATATACACATATATAACCAAGGCAAAACAAAAGAAGTTACGACATTACTTTGAGATTGTCGTTGTATTAATGAAGGTTGCATGCATCGCTGATCCAGCTTTCAACATATCAGCCACATACCTAACAGCAAGAGGACCATATGAGGTACAATGTAAAAGGCATCACTGTTCCTATGCATAATCTTTCCTCTAGGGCTCAATAACATTGAGAAGCACGAATTACCCCGGTGATGAATTAGCTGTATATAGGTATTGCGCCAAGGTAAACAACACCAGCCCTCCATATAAACACATGTACCTGACATCAAAAGTGGACAGTAGGAAGGCTAAAGACAGATGACCAGTAACATATGTTGTAATACACCCGTTTGAGCGTCAATTAATATGGGAACGGAGGGAGTAGATAACAAGATGCTAATGAAAAACATAATGAACTTCCAGTATCCATAAATTCTGAATAAGCTGTCAAACATTAGAACCCCTCAGTACTAATATTCTTCAAACATATCAGGCACTTATGGACATGCACTTCCAATTCTTCGCAGAGACACACCAAAACTATTTTCCTTCAAAAATTAAAGCAGGCCACGAGATGACACGAACTAATTACACGAACAAATGGTAGCTGGGAAAAGCAACAGCTCCCAGCACGAGCTAGGGGAAAATCGACTCCAAACATCGGATATCTTAAGTTCTTAAGATATAATCTAAACAAACGGAGACGTATCACAGGCAAGGAGGAACAGGGGAGGGGAGAGGGGCCGGTTATACCACTGATCCCGGCGGATTTGGCTCCGGAGGGCCGGATCGAGCAGGAAGACGGCGCCGATGAAGAGCGCATGCAGCAGCATGACGATTAACCTGACACACCTCCAGGGTTTCCTCCCTGCGCTCAAATTCCCCGTCTCCCCGGTGAGACATTCAGACCCCGGCCGGAACCCCCACCGCAACCAAATCGAACCAATGGACGAACCGTGCGAGCCGTGGCGCTGGGGCTGGGATAGGACCCTGATGGCCTCATGGGGAGGATCGCTTTCCCCGCAGCACGGCATCCTCGCCGCCGCACCGTCGTGAGGAGCAGGAGGAGGGAGGCGGTGGCGACGGTTACCGGTGGCCGGTGCTTCCGCGGGAGGAGGAGGAGGAGCCGGCCTGCAGTTACGGTGGGGAGGGGCCCACCTGGAAGTGGACGGCCTCTCGATTCTTTTTATCCCGGACCCGGACTCTGGCTTTTTTCTTTGGGGGTCGGACTCTGGCTTCTTCAGTATGTCACATACACACACCCCACAGGCAAAGGCCCAGTGCCAGATGTGCCGAAAATCCAAGCCCAGAGTTGGCCCATCAGGCCAGCCTGGCATGGCCGCAGGGGGGGC